AAGAGTATTGTAATAGTGACGCTGACTTAGAACAGTACTGGGTTTTGCTACAACTACCAAAAATTAAAATGATAGTTGGTATAATTTATCGGCCGCCTAAGGGTAGTGTTTCTAATGCACTTAATAATTTGGAAACATCGCTCTTTAGCATTTTACCTCAATGCGATGAAGTGATGCTTATGGGCGACATAAATATAGATATGTTGTCTGAAGGTATATACCAGAATCAGGTTAACGATATACTCAATGCCTTTCAATTAAAACAACTAGTAGTATCACCAACTAGAATAGTCGAAAAAGTAGTACGCTTATTGATATAATAGCTATGAGTAATATTAATTTGTCTGCTGGCGCACCTGTCCACGTAAATATGCATGATATTACAGATCACCAAATGATATTCCTTAATCTAGGAATAAACATAAGTAAAGAAAAAATTAAATTTCATTCTTATAGAGATTTTCGGAATTTTGATGAGACTGAGTTTAATAATGACTTGCGTAGATTAAGTTGGCAAAGAATGTTTCATACTAATGATAATGATAATAAAATTGATATTTTCACTAATTATATGATGGGTCTCTTTGAAAAACATGCTCCCTTTCGACGAGTAAGGTTGACAAAACCAAGAGCACCATGGTTTAGTACGGAACTTCGTCTTTTGAAAAAAGATCGTAACCGTGCCTTTAGTCGGTATAAAAAAGCATTAAGTCTGGAGGATTATGCAGTTTATAAGAGAGCTAAAAATAAGTTTACACAAGAAGTGCGAAGAAGTAAATATGAATATCTCGAAAATACTCGAAAAAGTCTCAGTATGCGTGAAATATGGCAAGCACTTAATAACTTAAATGTACATAAGCGCAATAATACTAAAAAAATTCCAGATAATCTTAAAGATGTGAACACAATAAATAGCCATTTTGTAGACTCTATAGAGGCTCTGAAATGTGTGACTGATCCTGTCACTGTTAACTTTTACAATAATAACACATTAGCGCACGTGAAAACATTTCAGTTTGATAGCATTAATGAAGCAGATCTGCTTGATGCCCTTGCTAGCATTAAAACCAATGCAGCAGGCTGCGATGGTATATCTCTATTAATGGTTAAATTGTGCTGTCCTTATATTGCCCCTACCTTGCTCATATTTACAAATTGCTGTTTAAATAATAGCTATTTTCCGATTAGTTGGAGGGTGCAAGTCTGCTTTTATTAGATTATACTAAGGCATTTGACACCTTGGGGCATGACCTTTTACTGGCAAAGCTTCATTATTACAGGTTTTTGGAAAATGTTGTGGAATTGGTTGGCAATTATTTGTCTAATAGATGCCAGTGTGTAGTTCTCGATGAGGCTCAGTCGGATGCTTTACCGCTTTCTAGGGGTGTACCTCAGGGTTCCATTTTGGGACCACTCTTGTTCCTTATTTACACCGCTTATTTGAAAAATAATGTTGTGGATTGCGAACTGCATCAATTTGCCGATGACACGCAAATATATGCAACTTACACTGCTGAAAATGCAGCAGCTGTTTACAATAATATTAATTCTGCTCTTGAGAAAATAAGTAAATACTCATTGAATCATGGTCTTCAGTTGAATCTTGGCAAAACTCAAATGATTTGTTTTGGTAGGGTACCCTTAGCAAAGGGATTATCTGTTAAACTGAATAACGAAATAATCCATCCATTAAAAACTGTCAAGAATTTGGGTTTGGCTCTAGATTGTGATTTGAGATTTCGAAATCATGTCAATTCGATTGTGCAGAAAAGTTATACAGCATTGAGGGGATTGTATAGGAATAAAAATATTATGAGTCAAGCATTGAAACGTAGCCTATATGACAGTTTGGTTCTTAGCCATGCCAACTATGCTGACATTGTCTATGGTCCTTGTCTTGACGTGCACTCCTCTTCCAGAATACAGAAGATTCAAAATTGGCTTGGCTTAAAGAATTGAAGTGGCTTAATATGTATGAACGCCGTAGACTGCATTTGGCTACCTTTGTACACAAACTAATTAAATTACAGACACCATTATATTTAAAATCTAAATTAAAACTGCGCCAAACTGTTCATAGCAGAGACACTCGAAATGTTAATCAGTTATATCTACCTCAATATAAGACCTCTTTATATCGACGATCATTTACGTATTCTGCGATCTCGTTATATAATTCCCTGTCAAGTGCTTAATAGCTAAGTCCCTCGGTTCATTTAGATCGGGGTTCAGAGATTTATTATTCCATAATGTGAGTTGAGTATTCTTTTTGAAACCAGCCTCTCTCTTCATCAACACCAATACATGCCTGTTGCCTTATGTTATTGCATAATGGACTTATAAGTATTAATTGTTCTCTATGTGTGCTCTATGTGTTACACTAATAGTTTTGTTAATGCTTTATATTTTTTATATTTTTTTGTATTTTTCATTGTTTTTTTTTTTGTTATTATATTTATACATTTGATATATTAATTTAAGATAAGGTAGTAGATATTGATATTATTTGTTAGGTTGTACTGTAATGGTACTCGGTTAACTAAGCAGTTATTTACTGAACTTCGCCGAGGATTATTAAAATAAAGACATATTATTATTATTATTATTTCTGAGACAACCTGTATAAGTGAAAGACAGAAAAAAAATTACTCAGACCGAGACCTTCCGAGTTATATCATAGATAAATGAAACAAGTTTAGATTGGAAAGTGCCCATAAGGACAATGTAAACACTATTTGGGGCTATTCTTGCAACGGTCGCGACCCAAAACTTTTGAAAATTTCGGAGCGGTTCGGCTTTTTCCGGAATTATATCGCCAAATATTGTTTATTCAAATTTATTATTATTTTCGTTTAATTATATAAATAAAATACAGTGTGTTGCATACAAGAAACTTTATTTTATATAAGGACGCATGTATGAAATACCTATGAAACATTGGAAACCGACGTTATGCCACGATCATGTGCCACGATCCACGATCGTTTTTGCAGTTCACAGTTCACAGCACATTTTTTTAAGTTTTTAATGCCACTTTTTCACAATTATCACCGGTTGGAGTAAATAAAACTTGAATTAAACTCACAAGATAGCAATAATTACTTTGAAAATGGACGTTATAAACATTTTTCGGAATTTCTTTTATGAGAGCGGTTTAGATTTTGAAAGATTATTATGATTTTTGAAGATTCTGACTTTGACAAGAGAAAATTATTTCTGTTTTTGTTTGCCGTTGTCCTTAGCGACCGCTATAGCAGCGCCAGATCGCGTATAACGGTCGCGACCCAAAATAATTTCACGACCCAACATTTTTACGGGCTTTCCAATCTAAACTTGTTGCATTTATCTATGAGTTATATTTCGTCTGTTTTTAACTTATTTCTGGGATACCCTGTATAGGGAGATTATTCTCTCTGGGAGTAAATTCTCTTAATACAGTAAATCAAAGATATATTTGTTTTTCCTAGGAAACATGCTTCGGTACATCAATTGATAATAAATTGTGCCATTTTTGATATAACAATTGCTACCGTGTCGCAAATTTGATAAAGAATGTCAATTTTGTGCAATGTGCAGTTAAGCAAATTTTTCCTGGTATTTTTAGTAAATCAATCTCAAAAAAGTATCTAGAAACTTATTGAAAGCATAATACTGTCGTACAAAATTATCCCAAGTAAACTTATTTGTTTTAGGTGCTCATTCTCATTTCCTTAACGTGGATATCAGTCGACTTAGTTAATAGTAATCAACGGCATCATGGTAATCAATCGACGCTATTTATTTCAGTTTAAAAATGAGAAGAAAAAGAAAGGCAAATATAGATTCTAAAATAGACATGGACCATTGTATACCGTTTATCTTCATTATTTACCTCACCTCATCAATCAGTGAGAAAATGTCAAATAGGTAATATGTAAAAAGCCATCCTTTTTGTTTTAAAAAGCCATCCTATGTGCAGAACTTATTACATTATAGATATTTTTCAAAAACCTGTCCATTTGGTAATTATCACTTAATACTCTAAACGATTGAGAAAAAAAATGGTGTCAGTGTGGCTATTGAAATGAATATCACTGAAAATGGGTGTTGCACTGTTCCCTATATGATATTTAATTAAAATTGACGTAAAAAATAGTTAAAAATTAATATTCAACAAAAAGAAGTAAAAATGTTTTGAGACGCGTTATTCATTTCTGCGCAAATTTATTTATTAAACAATTTTTATTGAAAATATATTTGTGAATTAAATACTGGTTTTTAATTTTGATAAGAGTTTTGACACTAATTTTTGATAAATCAACGATAAATGACAGATACATAATAAAGACCATATAGAGACTCTGATAGAGATCGACCCGACAGAAAATATTAGCATTTAAAATTCCAATAAGCCACCTTGACGCCGAGTTTTTGGTTTATATCGTATATACACTTATTACCATACTGTATAGTCGAATCATTAATATGGCTATGGTAAAAAGGGTAAAACTATTTGCAATAATCCTTGATTAATCACTCCAATTTACAGATAATTTGAAAATAGGATACTAAAATAAAATCCTAAAATTAATCAAACACGGTAGGCAACCAAATATACAAACAAATTTACTGCATTTTTAAATATATGTATACCGATTTTTCAAACCCACCGGCATTGAAATTTACGAATATTAATGTTATTCATTATAAATATGAATCAATAATAGTTCCATTTATCATTTTTATGAACTATATAGTATTCCATGCTAGTATTCTGTAAAAATAATGAATGTTTATCCAAACAATTGAAATCAATAAATAACCGACACACCCCTCGGCCCAGTTACCATTGGCGTAAACAGAAATCATTAATAAAATATATTTTTTAAATACGTGTTAATGTATACTCTAAACAAGATAAGAACCTGTTTTTAAGTAAACAAGTTCGTTAAGATTAACTGCATTTTTAAGTATATTAGCTTTTTTTCTTTATAGATTGTTTTAATTAAAATATTACTGATACTTTTGTAAATCCAATGGCATTCACATCCATATCTACGCCGCTGGTTGCATCTTGCATTTCTGTCATTTGAATATTTTTAGATAATTTGTGTTTATCTATTTGTTTTTTTTTTCGTTGTTGTTACCGTGAAAATGTTGTAGAGTAGCATAATATTATTTGAATGATATTTGTCTTAAAAAATAAGTTTGTGAACATACAAAAATGACGTGGGGCTTTGTAACTTGTGGACCAAATGAAGCTCTAGTCATTTCAGGTTAGTTGCATTTAAAAATATTAAAAAATTAAGAATTATCAGGGTAAATATATACAAGTACCTTTTTAGGATGTTGTTATGGCAAACCCCATTTAGTGCCTGGTGGCAGGGCATTTATATGGCCTGGCGTCCAAAGAATACAAAGGTAAATATTCAAGAAAAATACTTATGCAGCAAAATTTCAGAACTCATGTTTTTGTAGAATTTCTTTAAATACCATGACACTAATCGTTGATAGCCCCACAGTGTACACTAGCCAAGGTGTTCCAATTTCTGTCACTGGAATAGCTCAGGTAATATTTCATAATAATAAATAATTAAATATTTTAATTGTTTTAACTCTTAAAAGGTTAAAATCCAAGGACAAAATGAGGAGATGCTCTTGGCGGCATGCGAACAATTTTTAGGAAAATCCGAACATGAAATCGAACACATTGCTTTAGTTACTTTGGAGGGGCATCAGAGAGCTATGATGGGTTCCATGACAGTCGAGGAAATATACAAAGATCGAAAAAAGTTCAGTAAACAAGTGTTTGAAGTGGCTTCCTCTGATTTAGTGAACATGGGCATTACAGTTGTTTCCTATACAATCAAAGATATCAGGGATGAAGAGGTATATACAAGTTGCCACTAGACTATTTAATTACAAATATTTTAACCCTAAGTTAAGCTTATTTCTCTTTTGTTTAATAATTCTTGATATAGTTCTTTTCTTTTTTCATATTTGACGACAAAGGGTGCAAAGGTATGTGATGTGTGTGGTGTGTTCACATTTCATGTGCTTTCACTAATCTTATATGCATTGTTTTGTTAATTAATGTATAAATATATAGATTTATTAGATCAAAAATTCAATTTAATAAATTTAGGGATATCTGAAAAGTCTTGGCATGGCTAGAACAGCGGAAGTGAAGAGAGATGCCAGGATAGGAGAAGCAGAAGCTCGGGCTGACGCACAAATTAAAGAGGCCATCGCAGAGGAGCAGAGAATGGCATCGGTGTTTTTGAACGACACAGAAATTGCCAAGGCGCGACGAGATTTCGAATTGAAGAAGGCAATCTACGACATTGAAGTACAAACGAAAAATGCTGAAGCAGAATTAGCTTATGAACTACAAGCTGCCAAAACCAAACAGAAGATCAAAGAAGAGGAAATGCAAATATTGGTAAGTAATTGGACATATTTCTTCTATACAGGGTTGTTCAACCTATTTGACACGGAGTATTGTAGCCAAATGATTAGATTTTTAGAAATTGCGAGTCATTGGAGTCAGGATTTTATTTTCAGCCCCTTACAATAGATTAACATTTCGTTTTTAATATAATTAATCATTTTTTCAGAACTAGTTACCAATATGTATTACTTAAATTCCACTTAAAAAATATATTTATATTCATATCCATGAGAAAAAGAAAGAAAAAAAAACTAAATACATCTGTATATTTAATGTAGTTACTTATTAATGAAAGTAACACCAAGACATCTAAAAGACTGAACGCTCCTTTCACATTAGATGTAAACAATTGTTCACTTATAACCATTTAATTTTAGTTATATTTTTAAATGTTCTATAATTTAAAAATATCTGTAATTACCTGTGGTAAAAATATTATACTTACATTATAATTAGAACTTAGTTACAAGAACTTAATACGCAAGAAAAAGAAACTAAAAATTATCCTAAAGCTTCTAGATAAGATGGATAATATCTTTAAGATGGATTTAGCAAATGGATAAAAAAAATAATTTAATCTATAATAAGTTTTAGAGGCCTCAGGATGCTGTTCTATTTTACTTGACAGAAGAAGTCTTGGTAATCTCTTCCTATATCCGAGAAAATTAGTAGAAGGTGCATGACATTGTCGATAAAAAATGTTGACTGAATGATGATGCATCATAGACACATTGACACGTCTTTGTAGTTTATATTAACAATAAATATTCAAAATTAATGAAATTTCTAATAATATTTATTAAATTTAATCTCATATAAGCACAAAACGAATAAAAACTTAGGATTAACTGGGAAAAGCTAGTTAAAATTCCACATTAAAAAATTATTTTTAAATTTGAATACCTTGTACCGAAAACTAAATTGAATAAGAGAAAATATGTTACCAGTTTCCTTTCTAAAACTAATTAAAAATAACCAACAACAATATTTTGCAGCACCTAAGAAACACCCAGTAATATACTGTCATACGTAATTTATTTTGGGAAACTAAATCATGGTTTTCGGGAGAGTTAGGCAACCAAAAGGGTATTTGTAGGTTAATGTTGGTAATGAAACTTCGTAGTTATGAAGAAAAAAGGCTAATAATTGTAACCTACATCATATTTTTTTGGAGCAATTTGGAGCATTGGTGCATTTGGAGCAATTGTATTAGCTTACCTAAAATGTGATTTTAGATTAAGCAGTTCTTAATTACATTAAGGTGTTGAATTTTTTTTATGGTACCAGGGAACTCAAAACTAGAATTACCATGAGGGAAAACAGTTGAAAACATTGTACTTTCTCAAAGTACCATCAGTTTTTAGCTAATTTATCACCAGCGTTAAACGCACTAATTTTATTTAATCAAAATATTTTAGCTTCAGCTAATAATCTTATAAGCTCGAACATTTCTTATCAGGGATTTAAAATGGGCCCGTTTTTATTCAAAAATCTTCGATTCTGAAAATATGGACTATTAGAAAGAATATGAGTGAAATTAAAATTTAAAAAAAATACTTCCGATATTTTGATTTTTTGCCACTATTGGGAACTTCTGCATCACTGTGCATTGGTCGACTATTAGAGCTACAATTTAAAATTATTTTCAAAAAGTACAGAGTGTTCCAAATACATAAAATATAGTAAAGTTGTATTTTTTTAAACGCAACACCCTGTATATTATTGCTTATTTAGTTTCTCCGGTTAAAATAAAACTAAATTTGATTAAGGTTTACCGCATTTTAATCTTACCGTTTTTGAAATATTTACGATTTTTTGAAAAAGTAGTAACAATTTTAATGTTTCATTTCTCTAGGAGTATTTAACTTTTTAAAACCAAATAATACACTGAATTTTTTTACTAAATATTGTGTTGCAATAATAAAACCAATACTAGTTTATACGGCACACCTTGTATATTTTATGTGCATCTGTTGCACAATTTAATAGTCTATTAAATTTTATTACACCATTTTTATCTATCTGTTCCGGTTTTTGTAGAAAATGTATATTATTATATTTCAAATTTTATTAATCAATATTTATCAATATACCCATAGGATCTTGACATTTTAGATTATTTGTTTATTAATATACTGATTTCTGATTCAAATCCACATTAATTTAGAATAATTTATTAACTAGCACCTAGCACAATTAAGTATGTAGTTTATTAATATTTGGGCGGAAATAATGGTGGTATATTTAACTTAACTTAAAAATACTCTCTTACATAGATTTAAATAGTTTTTTTTCTAAACAAATGAGCTAGCAATATTATCGTTTTTAGCATCTGCACATGTGAATTTGCTTCTTGTTTCACAAAAAAATCTAAAATATCAAAATTCCTTGGGTATATTGATAAATAAGTTCAAATTTATTATCATTTTAAATATATTTATTCTTTTTAGGTGGTGGAAAGGACACAACAAATTGCAGTACAAGAACAAGAAATGGGACGAAAAGAAAGAGAACTGGAAGCCACTGTCAGACGCCCAGCCGAAGCTGAAAAATATCGCCTAGAGAAAATAGCTGAGGCGAATCGCAAGAGACTTTTGCTTGAAGCTGAAGCAGAAGCGGAAGCTGTGAGATTGAAAGGTAGTTATCGAAATAATTCACTAACATTTTTGATACCTGTCATTGTTTTATTTAAAATTCAGGTGAAGCTGAGGCTTTTGCCATCGAAGCTAAAGCCAAGGCCGAAGCTGAGCAAATGGCGAAAAAAGCGGAAGCCTGGAAAGAATACAAAGAGGCAGCTATGATTGACATGTTTTTGGACGTCTTACCAAAGGTAAGGCAATGTTTTAAGGTCTCAAACAAATACGCTATAATTGTGATTATGTTTTTAGGTAACGGCCGAAGTGGCAGCTCCTCTTGCCCAAGCTAAGAAGGTCACCATGGTATCGACGGGTACTGGTGACGTCGGCGCTGCCAAACTGACCGGCGAAGTGTTGGACATTGTCAGTAAAGTGCCATTGTTAGTTAAAAATATGACTGGCGTTGATATTACCAATGTAAGTAATATAAAACAAACTTGCCACAATTATGAATTAAACGTGGAACTAATATTTTTAACATTAAAAGTGAAGTTTCGATTAAGATATACAAAAAGGCTTGAAGCCATATGAATAATAAAGATCTCTTCAAAAACAATTCTCTGTGTATTTCGCCACTTGCACTGTAAGAAAATCTACAAAGTAAAACAGTTATTTTTTGTAAACACCGCTGAGTTAATCCAACGGAGACCAACTTGTCAGCGGTGGTTTACAAATAAAACCCCCAAATGTGCTGTAGCGTTTTTTATAAAACATTACCACTGCGAACGGCAGCTTTTCATCGGAGAGCAGTCGTGGATAAGGTATTTCACTAGAGAGAAAACTAATCAATAACAATAAACAAAAAAATATAGATATTGGGCGCCAGGCATGTACAGAGAAAGAAAACACAGTTGTATATTACTTAAAACTAATGGCTATATTTATTCATGATGAATTCTGATGGTAAATAGCATTGTACAATTTTAATAATTATTATAGTGGTTAAATACTATTACAAGGCGTAATGTAATGAAACCTAAAATCTAAATCATATTGTAACTACTAAATTGATATAAATGTTCTTAATAATCTAACCACTAAATATAGTCTGTACAATATTATTTAAAATGTACGTTATTAAGTTAAGACTGAAAATTGACTGAAAACCAGAACCTAAATCTACACTTAGATGTTCTTGAGGCAATCCTGTTTCGAAGAGTAGCAGCGTGAGGTGGGCTCATATCTCTGTACTGTCTGTCGGCGATCCTGTTGGCCAACACAACAAAAGGGGCCAGAATGAGGACACCATGAATCAATACAGCCGTAGCTACTAACTAGGCTTAGAAATGGGAGCGAAGCAGCATGGGGCTTATGCTGTATCCATACTGTGGCAATATGGGGACACTACCCGTACCTTGGAACACTACTAGGACCTTGGATAATGTCCGTAACTTGGACCATAACCTTGGAAACAGTCCGTCCATAAGATAACGGTACAGGGGAACACTACCCGTACCTTGGACACAGTCCGTCCTAAGGCCCTAAAAATACGAAAATCTTGTTTAAAAAACCAAACAAGGTCTAATAAACGAAATAAACCTACCTCGAAACACTTCCGAGGGCTCAATAATAAACAAAAGAACTGTCCTTTCTTCCATTTAACATTCTGGAGGACAACAGCAAAAGTACACCAACGTGTCAGCAAAATACAAATACGAGTTAAGGTGGGTCAATCCAAAACTCTACCCTAAAAATATTCAATAATAATATCGAATCTATAAAAGATAATAACTCATCTTTACCTGTAGCTTCGAAATGGCAGCTGATTCAGATTTTGCAGCAAGATTTAAATTGTCATTTCTAAAAGCAGGATTTGCAACCGTGCCGCAAACCGGCCAAAAACAAAGTGAGGTTAAAACGCAGAGAGGCGCCTTGAAGGGATCTTGACAGCGCGCGCCTCCACAGAACAGTGAAACGATAGCAGGGTTGGCGACTAGGGAACGTAAAAATTACGCCAAGCGTGCCAAATAAATTATCAGGCCTGAACGATACGGAATCCGGTGATGATAGGCCAGATATCATATATTATATATAAAAAAGACATGTAACGAACTAAAAACGTTACAGTGCCTACCTTTGAAAAAGAAGACTAAGGAAGGAGCATAATGCTATCCATGTATTCATGCATGGTGGGCGGAAAAAGCACTCTAGGGTGGGGATCCTTGACAGTTCTGTTTGACGATTCATTTGACACATTTGAATTTGATTTGAAATTTTGTGGGTTTATCAGGCTTTACGGAGCTTATTTTATGTTATTTATTATTTATTCTACTACTGATAGTTGTATAAAGGTACTAAATATAGATGGAAACTGTGGCAGAACTTAAATTAACAGTGACACTATCGCGATTTAACGAAAAAGACTCTAAAATAGTTGGTTGTGTAGTGTGCGGTAGATCTCGGCAAAAATGTGTGAAATAATGGAACAACTTTTCGCTAGTAAGTGACTATATAATTTACATATGTGTAGTAAACCGATCATTTATGAAATTCACTTAAATTAACTAATCATATATTTTTTCTTGCATTTTTGCTTTTATTTACTACTTGTCAAAGATTAGATGCCAAAGAATTTAGATACGTCAATTTGACTTACCTGCTTCAGTAGCGTATCGGATGTTTATGGTTATAAATAATTATTATAACTTAACTTTTTTTATTAGAATTTTATATTTTTATAACAATTTTAATAACTACCAACATTTATTCACAACGTAAAATAAAAAAAAATTATTGAGTCTCTCCCACGTCTACCCTAAATCATAGTTTTACATTTTTTAAATAAAATTAGAACGGCACTGATAAACCGGAATTTAAGTCGGCCATATTTGAGGCCCATCGCGGTGGACCTAAGATTTTTGTTATATGTTCCTTCCTTAGTCTTATTCAAAGGTGCCTACGGACAAAAAAAATCCTTAACGTTTCGGGAAGTATATCTCTTCCCGTCGTTGGAAGCAAAAAAACACAAAGAACAAAGAAAAAGACTAAAATATAACTATTCAAGAACACCTTAGTTTTTTTTTTCCAACAGATACGGTCTATTAAAAACCGCTGACGTTCTGTTAAAATGACATTATATCAAGTTAAACTTCAAAATTAACAATTAACTACCACTACCAGATAAAAATTGCTATATGAGGTGAAACCTTTGAATAATATAATTATATAATATATAATAAAAAGACTTAGGAAGGAGTATATCAAAAATCTTAGATCCTCCGCGATGGGACTCAAATATGGGCGACTTAAATTCCGGTTTATCAGTGCCGTTCTAATTTTATTTAAAAAGTGTAAAAACTATGATGAAGGGCAGACATAAATTTGTTGTTTTATTTTACGTTGTGAATAAATGTTGGTAGTTATTAAAATTGTTATAAAAATATATAATTTTAATAAAAATAGATAAGTTATAATTATTTATTAACACAAACATCCGATACGCTACTGAAGCAGGTAAATCAAATTGACGTATCTAAATTCTTTGACAAGTAGTAAATAAAAGCAAAAATACAAGAAAAAATTGAAAACTTACAATGGCTATAATTTTAAAACCAAAAAAGATTTCAAAAAAATAAAAAATACCGTTTCTATAATATCGTGGGGGAATACATATGACGTAATTTTTGAACCATCCCGACCTACCCCTTAGGCGGCACCCCTACTCACTTGAAAATCTTAAATGGTAACACCTCCCACTTTTGGCGCCTTTTTGGAAAGCCCATGAAAAATGCTAAACGATGATCATAAAGTTTTTAGGGTGAAGTTGAAAAACTACCCCTAACACGAAAAATTAGGTGGACATTAACGAAAAAAGTGATTTTTTCAGCATAAGTTACAAATTGGGACCCAGCTAAATGAGGTAAATAAGGTATTTTTCAAACCACCCCGACCCACCCCTAGGTGCCACCCCCTCACTTCTAATTTCATCAATGCCATTTTGAAACCATTGCCATTTTGAAGCTAAAAAAAATGTAGATAATAAAAAAGGCAACACAAAGATGTTTCACTAATCGTTCAACCTAATTTTGCGATAACGCAAATTCTTCCTTATCATCTATTTTTTCACTTTCAACAAACAGGAATCTTAAAACGACATATCTTTGCGTTTTTACACTGTCTTCTATCGATTTTCAATCGTTTGCAAATTTGGTGGTATTAAACCTTTATTTGATTCGCTTATTTGAAAGAAAAATTGTTTATACTGTGGAAGAAAGAATTCAAATAGTTTTTCTTTATGGTTCTGAAGGTATGTGCTATTTGAGGCCCGTGCTTTCAATGAGAGAAATCCGGACAAAAACGTAAGTCACGTTTATGTTAGAGATTTGATTCTAAAGTTTCAAGAAACTGGATCGGTCAAAAATAAAAAAAGGACAGGGCCCAGGGTACTGAATGAAGAAATGCAGATGGAAGTTATTGGTCAGGTATCGGTCAATCCAGAAGCATCAACACGCCAGTTGGCATCAATCACAGGTATACCTCGAACATCTGTCAGAAGAGTATTGAAAATGCACAAATTCCATCCCTACAAAATGAAGATTCTGCAAGAACTTGGCGGCGACGATCCAGATAGAAGGATTCAGTTCTGTGAACTATTGGCCGAGGAAATTCGAAGGGAACCTTCAGTCACTAAAAATATTTGTTTTAGTGATGAGTGCTCATTTTTTTTAAACGGAAATGTGAATAAGCAGAACTGTAAATACTGGAGCGATGAAAATCCGCATATTGTTGTTGAAGGACACACCCAACATCCCCAAAAGCTCAATGTTTGGTGCGGAATACTATGCGATAAAATTATAGGTCCATTTTTCATCGACGGAAATGTGACTGGTGATGCTTATGTGGAAATGCTGAACAATTTGATAGAGCCAGCCATTGTAAATGAGGTTGAAAATCAAAGAGATTTGGAAGGAAATTTAACTCTTAATGAAGACCTCATACACTTTCAGCACGACGGAGCTCCTCCGCATTATTCTATTGTCACAAGGCGGTGGTTGGATAGATATTATCCAAGGCAATGGATTGGCAGAAGGGGTCCAATCGAATGGCCGACGAGGTCACTTGATCTCACTCCTTTAGACGTTTTCTTGTGGGGTTACACTAAATCCATAGTCTACAAGACAAAACCAGGTTCGCTGCAAGAATTGCGGCAGAGGATAACTGAAGCATGTCGAAATATTCCGAGAGAGACTTTCCAAAAAGTGAGAGAAGAATTTGAAAATCGTTTGTATTTTTGTATCGAACAAAACGGCTGTTATTTTGAGCAATTGTTAAAATAAATTATCATTTTAAATTTCTTTCAAATTGTCACACCTACATTTCTTATTACTACTTACCAGTAATTAAGTTGAAGTCTGTATGACCATCGTTTAGCAATTTCAATTAGCTTTCAAAAGAAGTGTCACAAGTGGGGTATTGCTATCTTGAGATTAGAAGTGAGGAGGTGGCATCTAGGGGTGGGTCGGGATAGTTTGAAAAATACCTCATTTGCCTCATTTAGCTGGGTCCCAATTTGTAACTTATGCTGAAAAAATCACTTTTTTCATTAATGTCCACCTAATTTTTCGTGTAAGGGGTAGTTTTTCAATTTCACCCTAAAAACTTTATGAGCATCGTTTAGCATTTTTCATGGGCTTTCCAGAAAAGCGCCACAAGTGGGGGTGCCGCCTAAGCGGTATGTCGGTGTGGTTCAAAAAAAACGTCATATGTATTCCTCCTCGATATTCTAGAAACGGTATTTTTTATTTTTTTGATATCTTTTTTGGTTTAAAAATTATAACCATTGTAAGTTTTTAGTGGCCCACCCTGTATGTTGTAGAAAGTAGTAGTGTAGTCTTTCTTAAAGCCCTGAGACTGTATGATGAGTTATAACTCGTTATAACTCAAGAAAGGGGAACACACAATAGATCTATAAGGTCGCGGTGATTAACTCCCCTCCTAAACATTCCCTGTATGTTACGCTCAATAGTCGAATTCGGGTAATGCCCGAAAAAATACGTAAATCTAGTTTTGAGCAAGGAATATTTCCCAAACCCGAAAAACCAACTAACCAATGAATTAACACCCTCCAAATAATCACGCTAACCAACTCGCCAAATAACTAAACCAATCCAACCAAAAAGAGTGAAACCAATGCAATCAAATCACACTATAAGCAAAAAAAAAATAATCGAATAAAATTAATTTTTCGGGTTTGGGAAATATTCCTTGCTCAAAGCTAGATTTGCGTATTTTTCTCGGGAATTGCCCGAATTCGACTATTGAGCGTAGTATATATAATATAGTCACTTACTAGCGAAAAGTTACTCCATTATTTCCCCCGATTTTTGACCGAGATCTACCCCACGTTACACAACTATTTTACAGTCTTTTTCGATAATTCGCAATAGTGTCACTGTTAATTTAAGTTCTGCCACAATTTCCTTCTAGATTTACTACCTTTATACAACTAGCAGTAGTAAAATAAGTAATAAATAACATAAAATAAGCTCAGTAAAAACTGACAAATCCACAAAATTTCAAATCAAATTCAAATGTGTCAAATGAATCGTCAAACAGAACTGTCAAGAATCCCCACCCTAGAGTCCTTTTTCCGCCCACCATGCATGAATACATGGGTAGCATTATGCTCCTTCCTTAATCTTTTTATTCAAAGGGTGAAACCAAAAAAAAAACCGTGACAATTTTTTTGAAGAGATGAATTCACCACAGAGGTATAGACATTTTTTAATAATAAAGATATTTTTATAAAAAAAATTGTGTCCTAAATTGCTATTTTCGAAATACAGTGTGGTTTATTTTACAGAAAAAATGTTTGAGGCACTGGGATAAACTATTTACTTTTTACTTTCTTTTAGTATCTAAGAAAAATATAAAAGCCCTTATATTATAGAAAAGCAGTTATTCATTATGTACCATACAACAAAAAAGGTGTCGCAGTAACCTTTGAAATGATGATAGATTATATAGATACATTATGATCGAAAAAAAAAACGGCGTCAGCGATGATTATGAGATGAAGATCGCTGTCATTTTATATGGGAAATGTCATCGATCGTCATTTCTCAGCCAACTTGACGGTTTGTTTTTTTCGATCATACGGTATTATTCCCTCAAAATATTATTTTTATAGCATACCTACCTACAACCACAAGATTATTTCTACCCAATCATTCTTTTTTCTCTATTACAGTATAATTTTTGACAAGTTTTTAAATCAATTTTCAATAAATGACATAAACATAGCGTGTTTATCTGTACAAGAGTATCATAGATTCTGCTGTTTATTTTCGATATTTCAGTATTTCTAAAACGAAAGTAGTAATTTAAGACATACATTGCAACTAAAAACTTTTGATGATCCAGAGAACTTTTACTTGACATATCAAAAAATTAACGTAATTTCCATAAGTTTTTTTAGCTGCCATTATACAAAGCATGCTTCATAAACTTTTTGATCATATTTGTATGATTTTTTTATCTAAAAATTATCTGAGATATTTAGCTTCAATTTTTATGTGGTATTATTGCTTTTGTTTTATTTTATATATCGTTTTTTTTTTTAAATTTTACAAACAAAAATATTTTTGCATGTTTATAGTCGGATTACGATCTTTGGCAGTTGACGTTGGAGGTGTAAATTCAAAATTATCTATAAAATTAAACTATTTTTATATAAGCAAATGAATTTGTATTATGAAAAAATATTAAGCCATTGCTCAAGGATTGATCCAAAGCCAAAGGTTGAATTCCGATCATAATTTATGTTTGCACTGGCATTATCACAAACGCATATTTTCATTCCTCATTTACAGGTAGTTAAGAAATCAAATAGAAGCATTGGCGATTTCTGAATCGACTCGTTCATTTAAAATTATCATTAACACGTCCATAAAAACACACTAAAATAGGTACTAACGTTACGTATTTTAATTTTATTTTAAATGCTGATAGTTAATTGAAACGATGTCGATGTAAATATCAACCCAGTTTTTTGTGGCATCTCTAAAAATTATGATTTTGTTTACTCAGGGTTATGTCTTGAAAATTTTATTCAGTATCTGCAGTTTTTAAATGCAATATAGAAGAAATCCCGAAAGATTACTTGTTCAGATATTTGACATGGTGTATGGCAATACTGACACTTAAAAAATATATACCTAAGCCATGGAAACAAAAATGCGTTCTGGGATATTTAAAATATTAAACGCACGCTCTCCAAAAGTGATCACATTTGAACCATCAACATTTAAAATAGTCAAATAATTTTAATTCATTTCACATTTCAAATGTCTATATTTTATGTTCAAGCCCTAAAGTTCCCAACCACGATAAAAAATGTCTAAATGAAGAAATCTTTTGGATTTCTACTATATGTATATGAGAATAACTATAGAATTAACTAATGTACAGTGTGTCCAAACTAAAGATGCTACACACATATTTGTCCTAACTAAGTTTAATAGAGGGCGAATTTGAAAATTTTGCATTTTTTGACTCCCCTCATATCTCGATTATTCTATAATTTTTCGAAGCGATGAAAACTGTGAGTCCAATAGAGTTTTTCACATAGAATTCAGTGACGTTAATAGATTTTCGCTTGGAGCTGTCACTTTTGAAATATGACTCAAACTTATTTTTTTAAATGAGATACCCTGCATATTATTCTTCTATTTTGCTTTGTTATGAGCTTCTAAAAATATAATATACTCCACACTTATTTTTTTAAACAACTTACAAAAATGCATTATTTAACTTTATTATTATAATTATTTATGCATTATGCATATACCGGGTGCGTCTCAAAAGTGGCTCACCCCCATAACTTTCTTATTTTTTCGGATAAAAAAACGAGATTTGGTATGTTAGTATATGACATAAATTCGGATTGATTGACGTATTCAATTGTTTTTGGTCACTTCTTGTTTCACTGGAAATGACTAAAACTTTTGATTTTTAAATGGTACCCTCGGTGTTTTTTTACTTTATTTGATAGAAAATGACATTCTGAATAGAATGACATATCATATGTCAACTTTTGACATTCTCGCTTAATAAAAAATCGTATTTTAAATTTCAATCAAGAGTACCATGGCTATGTTAAAAACACTAATTCTTAATCAAGGAGCCTTGGAAAAATAAATTTGATCGTCGTAAGGTTTTTAGTGCCTTGTCCTGGCCAGTTAGAAATTGCCCAAATCATATTTTTAATCATATCTCAATTTTTTCAAATGAAACGAGGGTGGCTCATTAGCATATTTGGAAAAAGCATTTTTTTACGAATAATTTGATACCACACACTTGGTATTTTGAGTCAAATTTTCGTTACGAACCGCAAGTTATAGTTTCAAATAAATCGTATGCGAAAATGTTAAAAGTTAATAAAAATACCGAGGGTGCCATTTAAAAATCAAAAGTTTTAGTCATTTCCGGTGAAACAGGAAGTGACCGAAAACAATTGAATACGTCAATCAATCCTAATTTATGTCAAATACTAACATACCAAATCTCGTTGTTTTAACAGAAAAAAATAAAAAAGTTATAGGAGTGAGCCACTTTTGAGACGCACCCGGTATATTAAAAGCATTATTTAACTATATAATTAACTAAAATAACCAAATAATTTATTTGGCGTCAAATTTTGGTTATTGGCGATTCCACGCTAGTTTGTGTGTGTAGAATTATTGCACAAGTGCATCAAATATACTAATAACTCTGGTTGACAGTTTGGGTTAAATAAAAGTTGCACAAGTTCATTTCCAAGGCAGTTTATTAAGTAACTAATAGAAACAATAGAAAGCAAAATTATCTGGTTAATTTAAATTAAATAAAATTATAATACTCTTTTAAAATATGTTGATTTTTGTTAAAAAGTAAAATAATACATCTTTTTACCTTATTTACGAAAATAAGTATAGAGTATATTCTATTTTTAGAAAGCTCATAATAAGGCAAATAAAATTAAAAACTACAGGATGTCCCATTTAAAAAACACAATTTCTGTCATATTTCGAAAATGACAGCTCCCAGCGAAAAACTAGTTACGCCACTGGATTTTACGTAAAAAACACTATGGGACTCCCCTCTGTATATCCACCCTATATTTCAGGAACTAAGTGAGTTAGAACAAATCCGTGCAGGGTGTGTAGCATCTTTAGTTTCATAAAAAAGTAGCATAGTGATGTATAAACCGCATTACACAATAAGAAAATAAGACACCCTGTACACTGTAAACATTATTTTAATTATCAAATTCAATCTATGAATTAAATATCAATAAATATCAGCAACGTTCAATTGACATTCGGTACATAAAAAACAAATTGTATATTTTGATTCTTTTTAGACGGTGAAAGTGGCATCATAGGAGCAAAAAATCAGCACATTCCAAAGATGTGGATATATATAATGAAATAAATATAAAAATATTTTTATGGCTTAAATTCTAAAAGAAAATCTTCAAGGCGAGATATAAACTGTTTTCTAAAGTTTGACTCATCTCTGGTTTTTCTGAATGTGACGTGTCGATATAATTAGTGTTTTATTTTAGCACGTAAGCACTCTTGTTTATTGTTACCACAATATTATTTTTTTACTCTATAGCATAGCTTTTCTAGTCAAGCTAGTATTATTTGCGTGATGTAAAAATGGATTTATTGTTTTTAAGATATTAGATTTGATAAAAATGATTGTCTTAAAAAAATAACTTGATATATTTTTAAAGATTATTTGTGTAGTAAATAAATATTGTTCTTACAAAATGGTCTTTCATTACTCCATAACCCTTATTACAGTTGGGGGTTGGAACTTTTGGTGTTCCAACAGCAAAATAAAACACTAATTCACCATATTACACCAACACTCTTTACTTCTGAACTGGACGCGCGTTTCGCTAAACATGTTAGCATCATCAGCAGATGATTAAAACTGTTTTAATCATCTGAACATGGTTAGCGAAACGCGCGTCCAGTGCAAAAGTAAGGTGTGTTGCTGAATTAGTGTTTTATTTTTCATAACCCTTAATTGAATGTAATAATTAATGGATATATAATCTGTTCAAAGAGAGGATACATGACAGTAACAGTTGCGTCGGTCATTTTAATTTTCGCAAGAAAATTCTAATTAATTCGCAAGAATTCAAATAATTCGCAAGAAAATTCTAATTTCTGTCATTTTTTTGGATGTCGTCTTTCATCAAACTTGAATTTGGTGTGAAGTTTTATTACGTACTTATTACCAAATATGACACGTTGTCAAATATTACAATTATTGACATGAACAGTATGAACACTTATGTACAACCTTATAAAAATATTAAGAATGGTGAATATTTTTTAGAATTTCGACTAATAGAACTTGAAGCAAGGTGAAGCGTGATTTTTCCTGAAATCAGATACTATCCAACACACTCTAATATACAGGGTGTCCGCGTCCTATTTAATAAATATAGTTTATACCAATAACAAACATTTGCAGTGTGTGGCTCTTTTGATAATACACAATAAAACTTGATTATGACCTTAGAATTCTTGTTTATTTAATAAATTTTCTATCTCGAAAAATATAATAAAGTTAATATAGCTTGTTAAAGTTTGGACAAAATAAAATGCTCGTACAAAGAAGCAATCTGTATTAATGGCCAGCTGACCCGGCAAACGTTGTTTTGTCATATAAATATTTGTTATGGGACAACATTCATTTCTATTCACGGAGTTGAAAATTATTGAATTACAAATATCGTGCTATTAAAAAATAGGTGTTTATGGTAGAAGGTTGAAAATTTAGAGTTCTATGTATTTTTTAATGCCACATCATAAAAAAATACAAATTAAAAATTTAGTTCAAAAAATAAAAAAAAATTGGGGTGGACCACTCTTATCACTTATCTATTTTTTACCTCTAAGTGATAAGGGCGGGTAAAAAATAGATAACAACCTAATCTCAGACCTACCGATATGCATATAAAATTTCGTCAAAATCGGTTAAGCCGTTTCGGAGGCGTATGGTATGGTAACTAAAACTATTAAAAAAAATTGGCGCCAGGAGGCACGTATAGCCGCCCATACTGAAATATGTTAATATCTCGAAAACTGCGACTTTGGCTGATTTTGATGTTATTACAAATTTTGTTGCAATATTATTCCTTATCTTAATTTGAAAACCGCGTTTCGCTAGCTACTGTAATTTTGGAGTTACGATTTTTTAAAATTTTTAACCCCCTCCCATACCCCCTTACCAACCCCCCACCCCCACCAAAAACTAATAGCTAGATTCTCGGGTGCCACAGTATTTTTGTGCCAAATTTGGTTAAAATCGGTTCAGCGGTTTTTGAGTTATTGTGTTAAGCCCCCCACAGACTACGGTTAATCTCATTCTTTCGCAACGCCGCGATCCGAAACTTAAAAAATTAACAAAAGGTATATCACACAGCCACCCCTAGATTTTTTCAAATAATAAAGATCTACTGACGCAAAATCATAAAAATTAAAATATATAGGAAAATCTTTGCAATCAAAAGCAACCTTAATAATATTTTGAAGATATATAAATTCCCCATTAAACACCGGAAAAATATACTGGGTGTTCCATTTAAAATAAAGGAGTAACTTGCTTTTAAAAGTGACTAATGTCATACTAATTTTGTCTCACCCTGTATAACTTTTCGGGTCAAATTTTAATTTGGTTTAACATACAATGGTTACACAAAGTCAACTAAAATTTAGGTACCTCTTATCGTAATTTAAAATTTACTCTTCATTTTCCGAAAATGTGAAATGTGTCAAAATCCTTAGATTTTAGGTATATGCTTCTTTTATAAAACTCACCTTTATTTTTTTCTTGGAATGCGAAAATCAATTATTATATAGGGGGTTCTATTAGAAAAAAACATAACTTTGATGTGTAAATTTTTTTGGGGACACCCTGTATAATTCTATATATTTTTATAAAATGCTTTCAGTTAACCTACATATGATGCCAAAATTTCATTTCGATATAAACTACCGTTTTCATTGGAGCTTCCGCGGCGTATGAGAAGATTATACCCGATAAATAAGATTCACCCCGTATGTTAAACAAATTATTAATATATTTCTTTAGAACTCAAATTCTTCATGAATCTAAATCTAATATATAAAATTCTTGTGTCACAGTTTTAGTTACCATACTCCTCCGAAACGGGTTAACCGATTTTGATGAAATTTTATAATCTATCTATATTCATTAGATCTGAGAATAGGTTGTTGTAATACCCGAGAATCCACCCCAATTTTTTCTATGGACAGAATTTTTTATTCTTATTTTTTATGATGTGGCATTAAAAAATACATACAACCCTAAATTTTCACCCTTCTACTATCAACCCCTATTTTTTAATAGGGGTTGTCTAAGGGGTTTTAAAGATCGGCAAAAAAAAAAGTTTTTTTAATTTCACTCAAAATGAGTTATTTGGGTCATAAATGACCTAAATACAAAATATTTTCATGGTGTCTGTCTGTCTGTCTGCCGTCTGTAAAGCCCCCCACAGATTACGGTTAATTTCATCCTTTCGCAACGCCGCGATCCAAAACGTCGTGAATATTTTGCTAAAAACTGATGTATGTGGGGCAAAACCGTCGTGTCGCATCGTCGATAAAAATTTCTGCTGCCGCTTGATTGAACGACGCGACGTACAGTGGAACGAGCTTATGGGAGCTGTTGGACATGAGGTTTTCTTCTCAACACTTTTAATCCAAAAGACGAAAAAATGATTTTTATATACCGTAATAATGTATAAACAGAACAATTTTAAACTTTAATGAAAGAAAGTGGTTGGCTCGTTACAAACCATCTACAGGGTGACCTAAAAATATAGTATGTTTTGGAAAAATCTTACATGTTTTAAATGCTTATAAACTTTGCCAAACTGTCGTGGAATGTTTTAGTTTTGATCCTTTTAAAAAGAAATAGCTTTAGATTTTACCACTGAAATCTAAGACTACTGATAGCGTGTTATAAAAATATGGTAATTAAGGGCTTACATATATTTTCCTATTTAATATAACTTTGCTAATATCTTCGATTTGAAAGAAGATATCAAGATGCGGTTTTCACTGACTTTTTAAGCTTTCATTACTCTTTACTATCAGCTAAAATGGCATATACCATCGCATTTATTTTTTTTTTAAAAACGCGCAATGTTTGTTAATTTGTAAGACAGCGCCCCCTAGCATCTACGTTCAAAAGCTTACTATTATTGTTTATATGGTATAATATAGAGTAAGAAACGGTCTTTTAAACGAGCCCCCGTTAATTGGATTCCGTCCATCCAGTCCGGAATTATTAATACTTAAATAAAAACAGATCTAACCTTCCCCCACCACTTTATTTTTGCAGATAGGGGAAAATGGTTCTAACAAAAAATATTCAGAATTTACTGAAGATTATGAAGCTAATATTTATAGTACCCCTTATCTCGGCAAAGTTGTGTAAAAACTCCATTTTCTTATTTTTTATAGCAGTTGCGCCCTCTAGCGGCCATTCTACAAATTTGAAAATAATTTCCTGCATTTTCTCATGGTCTCTTTAGTTATGAATATTTTTTCCGCAAGCCTCACGGCTAAGACTTTCCGAGATATAGCCGAGAGCTATTCTTACTGGGACACCCTGTACAATAACTTTATTATAAGCAAAGAATATAACAGTAAATCAACGCACTAGAATATTTTTATTACAAACAAAAAACTTCAACACTGCACTTTAACCCTCTTTCGTTTTCCAATAGTTTATAAGTTTTCCATATATTTGTAGCACCCTGTATCTGTTTTTGATTTTAGCGTCATTTTGTATTTATCCAATTAATAATTAAATATTAATAAATTTATAAAAAAATAATTATGACTCTAAAAATTTTAAATTAATTTATTGGAATTGAAAAGGTTTTTGATTTTAGTATAACATGTATTAGTAATATATTAAATGGAAATTTTTAGAGGGGGGCAAGCTGGGGCAAGATGTTAAATTAGTTTCGTTATTAGAAAGGCTTAATCTACCTTGTGATATATATAAAGTCTTGGCCAACTTTGGTCATTTTTTATTTTTTACATACACATTTTTTGCTACTAAATATAGTATTTGGCAAAAAAAATGTTTATGTGTCTCTTATATACAATTGTTCTCCCAAACTTTTGTGACTATATATATCTTTTATTTTAAAGTGAAAACAATCGTTTGCACTAATATGTATGGTTAAAAAAATTATTAATATCTTTGCCAGTTTTTATAAAACTAGGTTGTTTCACAAGAAATGAATACCATAATTAAGTCACTGTAATACTTCATTTGAAACTTTTCAAACAGACATATAATTAAAAATATTTTTTTGAGTTGGATAAAATATAACGGTCTGGACTTTAAGTAATTCAAATCTTCTACCAAAATTATTTAATTTAAAATTTTATTTTTAAGTCAATGTCCAACATTTTATATTGGGTCTTTCCACCGTGCGACGGTTCGACGCGTGGCGGTCCAACCTGATAGTGTATGGGAATTTCGTTCCAGATCGTCGGTTTTTTTTGCATTAGCGGAGCATAGAGGAGATCGACAGCAATGGTTCATATTGGTTCCATTCAATAATAAAACGAATCTTCTGGTGCAAATTTTAAAAAAAATAAATCCTTCGTTTCAATGGCCACTCTTTAACCCAAATGGATCTCTGTTTCTTTTTCCTTTTGTTTATAACCGAAACCGCATCTGCCACTGCTAGCAAGTGCTTTCTTTTCAT